ACGACATAACTTCTCTTGGTAGACTCTTTCGTGGTACAGACGATGAGATCCTCGCGGGGAAAGCAAAATGGCGGTTCCTGCACATCTGGCCAGTACTTGCTGCATTTATTCTGAGGATTTGAATTGTTTTAAAAACTTTGAGTTCTTTCTTTTTCCTTTCGGATTTCTTGTAATCTCTCTCTCTCTCTCTCTCTCTCTCTCTCTCTCTCTCTCTCTCTCTCTCTCTCTCTCTCTCTCTCTCTCTCTCTCTCTCTCTCTCTCTCTCTCTCTCTCTCTCTCTCTCTCACTCTCTTTTTCCCTTTTTTATCGGGAGAATATTCTTTGGATGTCATTGTTGTTACCTTTATATTTTTTCTTTATAACCATTATTACTATAATTTTCATTGTTATTTTATGATTTGATTGTCCTGATCATTATTATCAATATTGTTATCATCATCTATATTATTATCATTGTTATAGTTATTTTCATTATTATCACTATTTTTTGTTATCATTATCATCACTATCATTATTATTATTAGCATTATTATCATTCTCATCATTATCATTATCAATTTTGTTCTTATCATTATCATTATTATCTTTATTATCCTCCTCCAGCATCTTTCACTCCTTTTTTACTCCGTCCCTCACTCCCTCTTTTTCTCTATATCTTCCTTCTTTCGTTTTTCTCTTCCCTCATCTTTCATTTATTCCTTCATCTTCTCCTGTCTCCCTTATTCCCTTCTCCATTCTTCCCCCTTGCATCTCTCCCCTATTCCATCTCTCCCTTCCTCCCTTCCACCATCAATCATTCCTTCATTCTCGTCGTTTCCCTCCTCCCTTCCACCGCCCCTTTTTTCCATTTATTTCTTTATCCATTTCTCCCATCTCTCTCTCTTCTTTACTCCATTGAGCTTCTTCCCTTCTTCCATCTCACCTTCCTTCCTCCATCTCTGGCTTCTTCCTTTATCTCCCATTCCTGCCTTCCTCCATCTCTCCCCTTCTTCCTTGCATCATATCTCATTCTCTCCATTCGCCGTCTCTCCCTTCTTCCCTTCCACCATCTCTCATTCCTTCTTTCCTCCATTCCTCCCTCTCTCTCTTTCTTCTTTCCTCCATCCTTCTTTACTTCCATTCGCTGTCTCTCCCTTCTTCCCGTCCACCATCTCTCATTCCTTCATTCCTCCGTTTCTGCCGTCCCTTCTCCCTTCTTCCCTCTCTCCCTTCCTCCCTCTATCCTTCTCTCCCTTCCTCCCTCTATCCTTATCTCCCTTTCTCCCACTCATCCTCTTTCCTTCTCTCCCTTCCTCCCACTCACCCTTTTCCCTTATCTCCCTTCCTCCCACTCACCCCTTTTTCCCTTATCTCCCTTCCTCTCACTCCTTTTTCAATATCTCCCTCCTCTCACTCATCCTCTTTCTTCTTCTCCCTTCCTCCCACTCACCCATTTTCCTTATCTCCCTTCCTCCCTCTCACCCTCTTTCCTTCTCTCCCTTCCTTCGTTCCTCCATCCCCCATTACTTCCATCCGCCATCTTTCCTCATTTATGCACCGAGGCCCCTTAAAGACCGGCCGCAGGTGGCGCTACCTGTCTTACACTTACCTCGACACTCACCCTCATTCCCTCAGTGCAACTCGTGACCATAATGATGACGTAGACATTCTGCTCCCATATCATTCGCCAAAAGTCTTGCTGCGTCGACTTCTTCGGACCCTGTGTGGCGATGAACCTGTTCTTCTTCGTAAAACTCTGGAGGAATTTAAAAAAAAGAGGACTATAAACTGAAAGAGAGAAAGGATAGGATGAAGAAGAAAAAGAAGAACGAAGGTTGAATCATTAAAAGAATAAAAAAGACTAAAAACTGAAAGAAAGAAAGGATGAAGAAAAAATAAGAAGAACGAAGGATGAATCATAAAAGATGAGGAGATTTAAAAGGAATAAAAAGGACTAAAAACTGAAAGAAAGGAAAGGATGAAGAAAAAAGAACAAAGGTTGAATCATTAAAAAATGAGTAAATTTAAAAGGAATAATAAAGGACTAAAAACTGAAAGAAAGGATAGGATGAAGAAGAAAAAAATAAGAACGAAGGTTAAATAAAAAAGGAGTAAATTTATATGGAAAAAGCAAAAGAGCAATAGATAATCAGAAAAGTGGAAATTTAGTTGGTTTTGGCGGGGAAATGATATTGCGGTTCATGTAAAAATAGGAGATGAAGAAAAATAATGGAGAAAAGAAACTTGGAAGTTTGGTAAAATTTGGCGGGAAAATGAAATTGGAGTTTTCTTGTATATAAAAAAGGAAAATATACAGAGAAAAGATTGAATCATAAAAGATGAGGAAATTTAAATTCAAAAGGAAAAACAGAAGCAAAAGGAACAATAGATAATCAAAAAGTGGAAATTTAGAAGTTGGTTTTGGCGGGAAAATGATATTGCGGTTCATGTAAAAATAGGAGATGAAGAAAAATAATGGAGCGAAGGGTTTAATCAGGAGAAAAGAAACTTAGAAGTTTGG